TTTTTATATTAGAACTTTATTGAATAGCAATAATTCGATTTTTTTTCTCGCCGTAAAAACCATCCTTGGACTTCAACGAACATTTAAAAAAAAGAATTGACCAAATTGGTCCAGTCGTTCTTGAGTTATGCGGATATATATGGTATAAAAAATTTTAATCTTTATTGAAGGATATAGTCCAAAAATATTGTGTGATTGTTTGATCGTCTTGTTAATTGTGGAATCGTCTATTAATTAGACTGATTAAAACATTTTTATTGAAATGTTTGTCAATTTTTTATACTTTACTCAATGTAAGAACCTATTTGTTTAAAGTGTTAGACTTTATTACTAAGCACGTGCATATCAAATCTAATCAGATAGAAAGCAAAGCTATTGTTGATAACTCATTTGGTTCATAGGTCGAGAATATTGCCAATGAGTTTTCTAAATATGTCATAACGTGATCAATTTGACACTAAATGATAGCTATTATCTGTGTTGCTATAATGTTGAGGCTAGTAACTAATTATTTGTTAGTTTGTTAGTTTATTTAAACTTTATTTGAATATCTAACATGTTCACTTTAAAGATCTAATATTACTTATTCAAATATTAGTCTAGTAAATTTGATAAAAATTAAGTAAAATCATGCGAGTATTAAGGAAAATTTTTTTTCATATAGAATTTTTTAAATCTGTGTAATTTTTTATAGTGCAAACGCATTCCATCATTGCAATAAAAAATATAATGAATACTTAAATATAACTTATTTATTTTGCGTTTTATTGTTATTCATAATATGTAACCATTTTTTGATTTTATAAAAATATAAAAAATATATATTTTAATAATAAATATCATGAGAGAACCTCCCATCACGAACCTTTACATTTAAAATATTTATGCAAATGAAGGAATTATTAAAAATTCTTTTAATAATTACATTAAATCTTTCTTTTTTGGTTTTATAGTGTAATTTTCTAATATTTAAATAAATCTAATATAATGATATGTATTCAGTATATATATATATATATATATTTGTATATATAAGATATGATGCACTGTACGTAAGCCAAAATTTCGCGCGTGCAACCAATTAAATTAAAATCTTGCCAATTTAAAAAAAAATATCTCTACTTATTTTTCTTGTCTGTAAAATATTTTTTACATATTGAAATTATTGTTATAAATAATTTATTTATTTATTGCATCGGATTAATGTGAAGAAAATATTTATTAAATAAATTATTATTTACAAGATGAACGATGTTTATAAAATGAACGATGATCATTGTATTATATACTTATATTACATGATATTTTAAATATAGGGAATTATGGTATTTATATAATAAAGATACAAACTTACGGATGCAAACTGTAGTTTCTGTGAAGATAACGAGGAGTCGGTCACACATGTGCTATTAGAATGCCCTGGGCTAATGCACATACGGAATAGGCTCCTGTGAATGTATATTCTTGCGGAAAAGGCAATAAAACTCTGTAAAGTCTTTTTATTGACGCAACAGGGCTTAAAGACCTACTCTTAACCCAGAAGTGGCATAATAGACCGGACGGTCACAATGCCACATCCTTTAGCAATAATAATAATAAAGATTTATATTAGAGCATGGGTTATTATTCCAGCTTTTGATCATGTACAGTGAGCCGGTCAGACGCTATGTGGTAAATGGCATCTGTTTCGATTCATTGCTAAACATGAAATTATTATTATACACTAGAGATGAAGGAACAGTCTTGATTTGTCTGAAAGAGTTCGCCAAATTCGTAAAAGATGAGTATCGTGAAACCGGTCGGAAAGATGTATGCATACCATATTAAAATATGATCACTACGCACTTATTATAGGGTATGAACCCATTAGCTTAATTAGCTTATCTTTTTAAATATTTTATTTATATAAATGAATAAAATGAATATATGACATGTATATTTTAGTGTAAGAGACACAAAAGATTTTGATTCTTTTAGGAATAGTTTAATTCTATTAAATATAATTAATAAAAATTTAATGAATATGGTAAACCACATGATTTACTCTGTCAAAGTAACCCTTTAATCAGGCAATTCATTGGTCTTTTCAATAGTTCAACTTTTAATATAATTGTTTAATTATTACACATTTCTAACAAAATAAAAAATTAAACTATATGTTACAATACTTTGTATAATCATAACGAATTAAATCAAAACGTATTTATAGCAATTTCTATATAAAAAATATATATATGTTGAAGACAGTCAAAATATTGGAACAATTATTTTTAATAAAATATAAACTATTTTTAAATATAAATAATAAATTATAGTGTTTTTTATTTCTATTTAAATTGACCAATTAGCCCGTTAATGAATTATTATATATAAAAAATGGTAATAATTAAATGTAAATATATTTCTTTTTTTATTAGTTTAAATTTTTTTTCCTCTAGTAAAAACTTATAATTAGTAACAACAATTAGTGGACAATTTAATTGTAAAGCAATTCTAATGATCATATAAGATTTCATATCATTTAATGACTTGACTATACAACATATTTAGAACTAAGTTTTTTATTGCTTTTAATTTTAGAAAACATTAGAGTTACAAAAAATATAATGACTTTCTTTCTGATAACTTATCTTTCACTATGTGCTGATAGTAATATCATACTATTAAATTTTTTTTGAAAAGATGGTACGGGGGAATTATTTTCAGTGATTAAAGTGTGATTTGTAAAATTTCATTTTAAACGATATATTTTCGTCATATATAACATTTTTACTGATACGATAGATATAATTAGTAATTATTTCAGACTTTTACTAGATATTTAGTCAAGCTTTTTAAATATTTATAAAAACGACATCTCTCGAATATAAAATTTATTGCAAATTGTATAGAAATTATTTAAGCGAATATATAAACCTATATACATATATATTCGTATGTATATGGAAATGTTATTGGCAATTGCTATTTTCAAAAATACAAAAGTATTAAATAAATTTCAGAAGGTCAAATTAATTACAATATTTTGATATACCGATTTCGATTTTGGTTCATTATTCAATCACTTAGAATAAATTTTGGTAATAACTATGGAAGCTTTACGGATGAGGGCTAATAGCTGTTTCTGTTTTAGTTCATTGAAGATCATAATTCACGCAATTAATACCAGTTTTAGTTTTTGACAATGTCATAATTTACTATATATATATAATATATATATATTATATATATATATATATTATATATATATATATGTATATTACTTTAAAATTCAAATAAAAATTATTTATATCATTCCTTATAAATTTATTTATTTTTACATATTATATGTTTTGAAAGTAATTACTTTCTACACACAAAATATATTAACCCCTTGACCAAATTATATATGTTGATGCTGTATTTTTTCCATTATATTTATAAGTTTATTGTCACGTTTCTCGAATGAGCGTTGAGCAAATTCCACGATAATTGAACATTGTACTGGATTGTACATTAAATGACTACTTTAAATAAAAATATAATTTTCGCAATTGGCAAATCAACTACTTGAATGCAGTACATTTTCATTAAATTTTTTTTTTCTAATATATTATATATACTATCCCATACAATAATACGTATGTTTAATGGTTATGCCTTCAAATAAAATCCATAGTCATCTTAATTTAAATGTTTTCTGTGAAACACCTTTAATAAACATCATCCTTATTCCTCAGCTATACAATAATCTTATTTCAACTGCTTTATCTCTGACTGAAAACTATTAAGTTTTACTCAGATCTTTATATTTTTTTCTTTAAATCTAAAAACTAATTTGTATATGCAAATTAAAGATAGTGATTATCTTTATTATATATGTAAGTTAACACTAGCGACCTCTTAAATCAGGCCCCTGTCCTTAGTTTTACTAACGGCACAATCACGCGATATTATTCGCTCGCCTGTTTGCTACCAAATAGGACGTCAACTTGTTCGTCTGGAAAAGTCCCGTTTGGCCTTCGTAGCTCTCAGCTCTATAAGTTCCCATTTACTTTGGCTACTTAAGTAAACGCACTTAACGTCTTTATATTTTTTTTATTAATTATTACTTTGTATACTAAGTTGTCTTTAATTGATATATTCAAGTGACTTCCTTCTAGTATATATTTGCTATATGATTTACAAATAACATAAATACTTCTATCCTGCACAATGTATTTCACAATATAATGTATTAACAGATGTTAGATTTTGAGATCTTTTTGTTTAATGGATTCCACTAAAGAACTATTTTTGCGATATTATTATTAACTCTTTGTAAAATGTGCCTTATCCACATACAATTTCTCTCCTTTATTTCTAAGTTGATAGGATCGTTATTCGTCAAGCTCAATAGATTGTCATTAGAGCCTATAGGAGATCAAACAAGACAACCAACGATTTTATAACACATCTTAAAAAATTGTTATAGTTTCAGTAGATGTAATCTGTAACTTTGCAGGTCTGGTATTGAAAATTCGGATACATGTGAACATTGATATGGAAAGTATCTTGTTCTTTTTTAAGATAATTTCAGTTTTTCTATCTTAAGTTAACTTGCTACCGAGTTAGCTACCTCAAATAAAACCATTTGATTATTCTCAAATGGTGGCGATTGTATGCCATCGGTAGTTTTCACATTGGCTTTCTTGAGTACAGAGTCGAAGAGAACCATGAACAGAAGTGGTAAAAGACACATCCTTAACAAACGCTTCCTAAAACAATAAAATATTCGCTAGTGTTGCTCTTGAAGTATTTATTTGTGTTTTTCTTTATAAGTTAAGGTTAAAGTTTTAATTAAACAATTAAAATTTATAAAAGTCAGTATAGCAATAAAATAGTCAGTATACTATATGTCAGTAAGCTTAAGGTTAAAAATGTGTTCATATATATTTTGTAATTTTATTTATTTGCGTATATTAGAAATTTTTTGTGATGAATCTAATCTCTTAATAATAATTATTTTCTTTTTTTTACAGATCAACTTTTTAATATGTCAAATATCCGCACTCTTCCTTGCATCATTGTTTCGTTCCATTCTACATCCTTCCAAAGTCTCTTCCGCTGTACGACACACATTTGCTTTAACGCTTGGTTTGTTCTTTGGCTATTTTTGCTTTGGACAACAGGCTATACATATTGCAGGACTTCCAGCTGTATGCTATATTGTAATACGTACACAAAGCCCTAGAATTGTACAGAGGTAATATTTTATGAATATAAATTATATATATAGTATACGATTCATTATATTTTCTATTATTTATCTTTTTTGTAGGAGTGTTATGCTCGTTGCTATGACATATCTACTGTGCATACATTTAATAAGGCAAATCTATGATTATGGCTCATATTCTTTGGATATAACAGGCCCATTAATGATAATCACACAAAAAGTAACAAGCTTAGCATTTAGTATACATGATGGTTTTGTACGACAAAATAAGGTGATTAAATCAAATTTAATTACAAAGTTAGTTTATGTTTTATATTCAAGCACAAACATTTCATAATCTAAGAATCATTTTTTGACCTTTGTAGCAGTAGTTAACGCATATATTTTTTATGCTAAGGATTGAAGTATTTGCGTTTGGAATGACATGCGTCCTACTTTTGTAGGATATACATTAAATAATATTAGAGCTAATCAAAGTACAAAATATTTATATATTTAGTTTGTTTGATATATTGAGTATGTAAGTTAATGTTTTGGGAATTAAAATGCAACTTATATTAATTCTCAACACGTGTTTTTTTTTTTAATTTATCTTCTCTGATACGATAACAATAAGAAACCAACTCTGTTTATGTATAACTTATCTTTTCTCTCCGTTAAGCTACTCAAAATTCAAGTCACTTAATTTTTAAGTTATTTATTTGTATTCTTTTCAATCGCTACAGATTTCTTATACACTCACAACACTCATTTTTAGTTGCAGGCATTTATTCGGAATCGATTCACAAATTATTGTGAGTTATTCACAAATTCAAACATAATATGTTAGACTAATTTAGTTTTTGAGCTGTGTATGCAGATGTATTGCTTTATTTGTGAATGATTTCCTACATGCTGTAAATCTGGTTTCACGATTTTTGAATCCAATTAACCGAAAAGTTTGCAATAATAATAATACATATTTACTGTTTAATTTATTGAATATTTAATACAACATTTCTTTTAAACTCTGAAAATGAAATACTCACATCAATGCCGATTTCTGAACAGGAATTTACTGCGGAATTTGATTCATACTACTCTTAGTTATTAGATTTAAGGTAAAGAAACGACGCACAAAATCTTAGTATAATATATGTAACACAAATAACTATTTGTATCTTTCATTCTATGAAGAGCAATTGTTAGAAGAGAATTATAAAATCCAGACATAAACTACTTCCACCTGCCATTGTAGCTATCAAACTCGCTTTCTTATTTAAGTTGATTCAAATATTCACTCATTCAAAATCTATTCTGTTGCTTGAAGCTAATATTTTATTTACTACGTTTTTAATTATAAAGCAAACAATGAAGGTTCTGCGTAGCATATAAGTAATACAAAATCGAATTGGAAGGACATATTATGGTAGTAAAATAATTCTTTATGTAAATTGTTTTTGTATTTTCGAGTGTTTGACTTGTTTATAAATTGCTTGACATTTACGTTTCAACACTGCTGTTGTGTCTACGGGTTTTTAAATGGTAAAAAACGTTAACCTTACTAGAGCATTTGTTGCTCTTAATAGAACCAATAATAGTTATTAATAAACTAATAACACAATTAGTAAGTTATAATCAGAAATTAATAATTTAATATCAATATTCTCTTAATATTTTTTGCTATTTTACTTTACTTAATTCACTTTGGAATGTATCTATACTTACTTTATAATTGATTGGTAAATTAACCTTTTGTTATATATCTCCATATATGCAAAATTGCTTTCATTCAGAAGCATCTTTAATCCTTGTAAATGAAAAGGTCAAAAGGCAAAATCTGACCTCTTGCTGTTTTATCATCAAAAACAATGTAGTTTATGACTGTTTGTAGTTTAATTTAAAAAATTTATTTGATAACATCATATGGAATAGCGCTAATAACTTTATAGAGTATTTGAAAACTTCTAATGCTAAAATAATAAATCATAATAAAATAAACCATTAATATATTTAATTATTTATTTAATTAATATGTTTCTATATATTAAATATAATATTTAATAGTTGTATTGAATATAAAACTATATTGTAAGCTGTATCAGACTTACAATGGTGGTAGCCTGCATTTGTTTGTCATAGACCAGTGATTTCGGCAAGGACACCACACTACTACACCACATTTTAATGTTCTTTTCTGTTAGAGAATAACTGCTATTTATACAAAATTTGCAGTTATTCCTTTGATGTAGTTATATATATGGATTGTATACATTGGAAGACTTCAAATCTCTCATTTTTCCATAATTCGTTCCATCATTCAATTGAGAATTTCCCGACAATCTTTCCAAAGCTACTTTTTAATCCTCTATCTTTATTTTTTCAATAATTTGTCTTATTTATTGTACTATACGTGAATACATATATTTTGAAATTAATTTATAATCTATTTTTTTCTTCATATATATTAGAAAATTTATAAGAATATTAATTAATAATCAAAAAAATATTAATATATTTCAGGACTTAACAAAAGCACAACAATATCACGCCGTCTACAAGCTTCCAACTACGTTAGAATACTTCTCATATGTATTGCACTTCCAAGGTTTAATGGCCGGGCCACTGGTCTTCTATAAGGACTACATAGAATTTGTTGAAGGTTACAATCTACTTAAACGGCCGCCAACAAATGTAAAGCTAATATTAAAATAATTTTATAAGAATATTTATTAACTATTAAGTTTATTTTTATTATTTATTACGTTCAAAAAGAATTAAATTATATTTAATCAAATATATATTAATTTTTATATACTTAAATATAGGCTAATTTGGATAATCGCAGATCAGAGTATGTGCTTGAACCATCACCTACGAAAACGGTCGTCAAAAAGGTTATCGGCAGTATGGTGTGTGCGTTTATTTTTATGAAATTCGTTAAAATGTATCCCGTCAAAAACATGAAGGACGATGATTTTGTTGAGCACACTTCGATAGCGTACAAATTTTGGTACGCTATGATGGCAACGACTTGTATTCGTTTTAAGTATTATCATGCATGGCTACTTGCCGATGCTATTTGTAATAATTCTGGTCTGGGTTTCACTGGTTACGATAAGGATGGCAATTCAAAATGGGATTTAATTTCAAATATTAATGTATTATCATTTGAGGTAAGCCAATCAAAATCTGTGATTTTGTGATTTACTTACATTATTTAAATAATTCTCTTACTTTAATTGTATTTTTATAATACTATTTCAGTTTGCCACAAATATGCGTGATGCCATTAATAATTGGAATTGTGGTACAAACCGTTGGCTACGCACAATCGTTTATGAACGAGTTCCTAAAAAATATGGTACTATATTAACATTTACATTAAGTGCTGTTTGGCATGGTTTCTATCCTGGTTACTATTTAACATTTGCCACAGGCGCAGTTATGGTAACATCGGCACGTTTTGTAAGTACATATATATTTATTTATGTTATTTTTAACATTTATAACATTTATAGATGTTTTACTCAGAAATATTGAAGCATATTAACACTTTTGTTCCTTGTGTATTGTAATTATATCTTTTCGTCTACATACAACGCGGGTTTTTAATGCTGTTAACAAGCACTTAGACTTTTGCTTATTATATATATATATGAGTATATGAGTTAGGTTCAACGCCGAATTTTGATGTAGGTTAAGTTAATATGTACATCAGACTTGAATAGGTTGACAATTTTAAGCACTTTTTAAATTTATATTTGCTATGTTCGCAGACTAGTTGCCAAATCTAAGCAAACTCTCGCTAATGAAATATTATAGTAATTTAACTTTTAAGTTAAATAGCGTATTGCATTAAACTGTAGCAACTTTTTTTACAAAATTTATTTCGAAATGATTACAAAAACAGTCAAACTTCCATAACTCCAAGTACCATTTAGCATAAGTTTAATTTATGGAATTATATCTATGTTAATTTGCTCTCTAAACCCTGTTGCAGTCCATTTAGTTCGAGTTATAGAAAATTTGACTTATAGAAGTTCGAGTTATAGAAGTTTCATCGTTTCTTTCAATCCTTTTGTGTAAGACTTGTTATTTTCATATGTACTTGCTTGATACATTCCAATATATAAGTACAACAACAACTCAAATGGTTTCTATATCCCAGCAAATTCTCGTTGTATATTGTATATATTACCCTGAAGGCGTGGCGATTAAAAACACAATATTCAGTAAATAATTTATTTAAAATATGCTTTTCTCAGGAAAAGTTTATTAACTTTAAATTTCATATCGGCAGTTCCACCCATAAAGTCTTTAAAAATTTTGTTGAGATCGGATATGAGTATATCCGTCCTCTTACTATAAGAGTTTAAGATGCCAAAAACCTTACTTTTTGATTACTCTCAGTCAATCTGATATATATGTTAGATACTAAAATTACTTTGTTATTATTTAGTTAATAAATCGATGTAATTAATTTAAATATTAAATAATTAATACAATCTCTTTCTTTTACAGGCACGTCGTATGTTCCGTTACCGTTTCCAACAAACTCAATTTAATCGTATGTTTTATGATATTTTAACTTGTTTAACAACACGACTTGTAATGGGTTATACAACATTCCCATTCGTTCTGCTTGAATTTATGGTAAAAAAAATGTTAAAGAAATTTCTTTAAAAAGTTATTAATTTTTTTTTTTGATTTATTTTTTAATTATACAGGGCAGCATCAATTTGTACCTGAAATTTTATTTGTGCCTTCATTTAGTAGCACTCAGTACCATGTTTATTTTACCTACATTTATACGCGGTGAAAAACGCGTCTCGAAATCAGTAAGTGATGAAAAGCTTCAGATAAGTGAAGACCTTTGTAAGGAAATGGATGGAGCTGAAAATAGTAAAAAAGCTGTGAATGCCATTGCTATTGCTAACGGCACCGTAAATATACCTCATGATAAAGAAAATGATCTCAGTGATGAACTCACCAAACCTAATCTAAATACTAGTGCATGTGCTCGCGAAGCTGTGAGCGTAAAGCATGATCAATGTGAAATGGATCAATTGTCTAGTAAATTAAAAGAAAAAATTGAAGCAGAGACCAAAAATATTGAGGAATTTATTGATAAGACTGTAACTGATACGGTAACCGGTATAGTAGAATTCAAGAAGGATTTAATGAGAGATTGCGAGTATCCTACACTCATATCACAAGATGGATTACGTAAACGCACTAATGTAAATGGTGAATCTAATACAATGGATGAGAGTAGCGCATTCCTTAAGAAGGAAATCGAAGTTATCAATGCAGTCGTTCAACAGGCAAATGTTTTGCCAGCTGTCCTAAGCAATGGTCACGCTAAATAGTAATAAATGAAAGCGCAGAGCAGCCTCACTTATGATAAACAAAAATAAACAAAAATATGAATAATGTTTAACAATTTTTTTTATGAAATTGTTTAAAAACTCTCATTTTGTAATGGAAATTAAAAATAAACTAAACCAACACCCAACAGCAGTTTTACACTACAAAGCACGCACACATTTTACTATTTATTATGTATTTAAATTATTATTTATTTTTAAGTCAAATTCAGCAAAATATTTTTATATACCTATTCTGTAATACTCTTGCTTTCAACAAAATTTAAAATGTATGTTTTTTTTATTAAATATTAACAGATTCTATGTTATCATGTTATATATCAACAAAAGGTTCGCTTTTAAAAAAATGTATTGTTATTATTCGTAAAAAGAAAACGGTTTGTCGGATTTATAAATGTATACAAAATAATTTGCACAATTGTATGCCGCCAATTTATATATAAAAATATATATTTTTTTCTATATTTACATTATATTTAAATTCGTCATTTACACTTACTATCATTATATCAGAGATGAAAAATGTTGCACAAATCTTCCAATAAAGCAACTGGCGGTATTCGATGTTTTAATGCCAAAAAAAAAACAAAATTGTATTAAATTATGAAAACAAATTTTCTTTTCATATTGTAAGAATGAAAGATATAGTTTAGGTCAAGAAAAAAAAAATAAAAGCTTTGAACAAAAGGTATTTTAAAAGTTAGCTGTCTTAACTATGTAAGCTGCTCAAATGCGCTGTAAAAAAGCACATCTAATCGAAGATTGTAAATTTAACAAAATATTTAATATTTAGTAAAAGAAAAAGAAAAAGAAAAATTTAATATAACTAATGAGGAAACGAAACAAAAAATATATATATCTTAATGTTGTTGATAAAGAAGTTTACAGTGTGAAGATGTTGTAAAAATTGTAAATGTTTTAATTATTTTTCAGATTTAGTAAGACATAATAAAGAATAAAAGAAAAACATTTAAAAAATTTGTAATTGTTTTATAGTTATAATTAAATTATAAAAATAGTCAATATTATTTAAGTGATTTTTGAATTCTGTATTAATTGTTTATATTTCTGTTATTTATAAAACATAAGGCTTTTTTTGGTACAAACATATGAGTTATATATTAATTATATCTTCATTATTGCTTTATTATTATTGTCAATCGTTCAAGGTGATTTAAAAAGACTTGAGTTTTTATATGACAACACAATAAGCGTTTAGGTCTAAGTGTATCCAAAGGATCGCTGATATTATCTAACCTAACCTAAGGTATGAAATTAGGATTTGCAATTTGACTTTCTACATAACATACCTCAATGATCAAGATTAGAAACAATGTTAAATTGATGTGACCATGTGCATAACATGGCCCTTAACTTATGTTTTTTTTTATTAAAATTGCTGAGTAGGACTTAGTCGCTAGAAACGACAATTGTTAATTGATATATTAATAGAGTTATAATTAATTTTGATTAACCAATTGAGTGTCATTAAAAAGTTTTATTTTTTGTTTAAGAAAGTTGCCTTCACATTACAACAGTGTAGTATTAATACAAATAATATTAACTACTTAGATGAAATTAGTACCAGTAGTAACGGTCGTTAAAATCAATTTTATTAATTTTAAATAAATATTTTTTCATTTATAAAGGAATTTTATTTGCTCCTACATTAATCTACCTTATTAAAACAGCTCTATATTTTACCTAGAGTGAAAACACTAGCAGACACTTCACTTGTGTGGACAGGTTCTCTAAAACAAGATTATTTTATCATTATTTGGAATTATTAACCTCTTTTGTCTGGATGATTATTATCCACTTAAGAGTTTCCATATATTGTATATATTACTGAATTATAAATTTTAATACAATTTCATCTCTTAATTCACAAAAAATATAAATAGCATAGCTTAATTATAAGAAACTTAGTGAAAATAAAACCTTTAGTTATTGTGTTATTAAAATGTAATGGAATTATATTCTATTATTTAAATATTACAAATTTACAAAATTATTTTAGATTCAGGTCTTAAAAGTTAAGTGTACTAGTTTTTTTATAAAAAACATTCTCCAAGCTACCCGTTCCCATAACACATAAACTGATCTCATTGCATTTTGTTGTGCCAAAATTGAAACTCCCGAATTGCTTAAGAATTTCTCGTGCATCAAATGTATCTGGTGCATTTTCAATGATCTTTTTTCTATAACGAGAATTCATAACTGTCATATGTAATTTAATATTATCCCGATCGAACTCCTTGAAAGACAAATCAGTTTTAATAAAAGCAGCTAAACATAAATCTCCAAACTTTTGCAATTCGGGAGCATCAACCGTTCCATAGAGTACACGTACAGCACTTGGATCATCATTCATAATTTCTAGACCAGTTACTTTTACATCGAATGGTGTAGTGATGCCTTCAAGATATTTACTATAAAATATAATAAAATTTATATATTAACTAACTGAATATTAAATTTATATATGAGATTTATAGTGTATATGATTATTGAGTAGAAAGAGTATTTCTGCAACGAACACGTTGTATTTTCGCTACTGTATAAGATCTGTGATAAATTTGTGAAAAATAAAAAAAATTGGATGAAAAAAGATTATTTTCGAATACCTGCAATTTTGCAGTACTTTAACTGCTTCTGTACGTTCAGTTTCATCTAACAACACACAAGTTTGTAGAGTCAGATGTAAGCGATTATCTGGCATAAAGAGGTGTTCGTCAATACCAGGATAAGATTTTTCCAAAATTTGCGTCTATAAAGCATTTAGCATTAGCATTTAAATACTGAAAATTATTATAAAAATCTTATTTACTCTAAAGTCGATGAACTTCTCCCTGATCTCAGTTTTGTGTAGATCAACACCCACAAAATGAGTTTTGGGCATACGTTTACGCAATGAAATTAAAATTGCTTTAATTTTACGGTGTGCAGAAAGAATATTGGATCTTGATTTTCCTGCAAGAAGCTCTTTTGAAATAATATAATTGAAAATTGAAGTTTTTTAAACAATAACCTTTAATAATTAAATTGTTAGATTGTTTTCCAACATTGCGTTGTCGTGGCACAATAATTTCAGTTTGAGTTTCAGATTCAAGACGACGTTTAGTGTTGCCCTTAAAACCGATTATACCTCCGTAGAATTCACTATATATAAAAGTATATGAAAATGTGAATTATCATATTAGTTTCTCATGTTATTTAAATATGTATTTTTACCTGTGTACATGACATTCTAATTTAAAAGTTGAATCAGGTAGTTCCTCTATAGGAAAATCCTGTTCATCCTCATCTTCATCGCTTTGCGTGTATAAATCTATTAGTAAGATGTGTAATAAGTATTTTTTATAAAAATATTTTACATGCTTACCATTTTCCACATATTCTTTAGTTGCCTGTTGTTGTGTTTTGTTGCCTCCAAAGTCTTCGTGCACCAAATTAACGCGATAACAACGATTGGGTCCCATTTGTTGTAATGGTGGAGATAATACTTCTCGGCTCATTTTGTATTATAAAAGTTGTAATTTGTATTACAATATCCTATAAGTATTTCCCAAAATAATTCCAAATTGTTGTAAAGTTAGAATATTTATTATAAAGAATTGAAATATGTATAATATAATTGTGTTAAAACATAATTTTTAGAATAAAAAAAATTTAATCATTTATCAGACATTTGTGAGACCAACAATTTTGACTACAAATAATGTATAAAATACTTGTCAAAAAAATAACAGCTTTCGAATTAATTCGAAAATTAATATATTTTAATTAAATACTTTTAACACCTGCTTAAAGCAATTTAAAATTAATAATATCAATTCTTACTGGAAACTATACTTTTTGTTGTGCCGAAACGATTCAACCGCTTTGCTTTGACTTTTTGACAGCTGAATAAAAATATCAGCTGGTAAGGCGTTGATGTAAAAAGTAATAGAACGATAACTGCCTGATTGACAGCTACCTTAAAAGTCCTTTTAATTCTTGTGCGCATACGCCCAATAACTAATTTTAACGTCAGATTTAAAAGTGATTTTAAGATTCCCGTAAACGTAGTGAATAAGTAATAATTATTCCTTTTGATATTTTCCTAATCCTAGGACTTTGCAGTATATATTTTATTTACATTATAATCTATTAATATTGTTATCTATCTATATTTGACTATACTTTTTTTGCAATAGGTGGAAAGTATATTTTACCAATTTAAGTCTGTGTGGGAATTAAACATTAAAAACTACTTCTAATATTTTGTTAAGACTTCAGAAGTTTAACGTTTGATACCCCATCCCAGTAATAAGTAATCAAGGGAGGAACTGAAAGCATAATAGGCATTGAATTATGTGGGCTTTATTAATTTTAGCCAAATGTAAAGAAATGTGCACTACAATGAAGATGATTGTTTTTGCAGAAGGGATTGAAGGGAATACAAAGTCAAACTATGCTACCAATACACTTCACCTTCTAGGTCCAAATAACCACAGTTCAATAGATGGATAACAGGGGAATTGGCTCATTGGATATTAATTGGGAAGACTTGTGCTTTTGTTATGAATAACGTTTGTCCTATGAGAATTAGTTTATATATGCTAGGTTAGAAGTATTATAGAACAAGAAATTTGAGTGGTGCTTGCCCTAAGTTCTGTCCATGAAGTTATTCATGAATATGTTGCGATCAATGCGCTTGAATGTGATATTCTAAATGGCATATGTATATGACATAAGCAAAGAAATTCAGTTTAGAACTAGATACAAATCCAAATTATTTCAGCTTGTCAGCAAACTGTAGTATACTCGTAGTATGTTAATTTGAGCATAGAGCAATGAGGCCGTGTATTTACCTAAATCCGACGCTGACCAGTTAGAGCAGCAGCCGAAATTCTTCAGTGAAGATCAATGAGAATTGATCGTTGATGTTAAAAGAAATAGCATCTAGATTGGGGGACACCAATCATAATGAAAAATTTAAATGAATGGGAAATCTAAAACAAGGTTTATAAATCAAGCCTTCCATCCACACGCCATCGAACATCTTTTCAACATTAATACTAATTGCTGGAATAAATAAATAGATAATTAAAGTTTTCAAAAAAAATAAAAGAATTGCAACAAAATATGGAGATTCTGATCAATCCGACGCTTGATTAAAAATATAGCAAATGTATTACCAAAATATCCAAAAAAATCTTTTCAGTTTTAAACTAATGCAAATCGACCAACACAGGAATGCTGTCTTCCTCATCATCTTAAACTTTGATTTCCTCCTTACATGACTTTATTGGATTAAATATTTAAACTTCACTTCAACTTCCTTTTTATAAAAATCTTTTAGGTTAAACATTTCGAAAAATAAAAAAAGATGAAGTCTACAAAAATTTATTGGACATTACGTTATAAAGTCTCTTTTTATAAATATAAGGTTTTTAATACATCTTTCATATTAATTAATTAAAAAAAAGACACATTTTATGTAAAAACTTTTATTAAAACGCTTTTAAATATAAATGTGCTTTTTTTTTAATTCAGTTGAAAATTTAAGTTTTAGTAATTATATATTATATTTAGTATTAATGATACTTTACATATTTTTATTCATTTACATTAAATTTAATCGTTAAAAATTAAGTGTACCAATTATTTTATAAAACACACTCTCCCGGCCCGTTCTAATAACACATAAACTGACGTCACTGCACTCTGCTGAGCCAAAATTGAAACTTCCAAATTGTTTAAGTAGTTCTCGGGCATCAAATGTATTTTGCCTATTACCTCGATTATTTTTTCTATAACGAGAATTCATAACTGTCATATGTAATTTAACATTATCCTGATTGTAGTCTTTAAAGGAGAAGCCACTTTTTATAAAAGGAGCTAGACACAAATCCGCGAATTTTTGCAATTCGGGCGCATCAACTACTCCATAGAGTACACGTACAGCACTTGGATTGTCGTTCATAATATTTAGACCTGTTACTTTTATATCGAATGGCGTAGTAATGCCTTTCAGATATTTACTATAAAATAGAGTAAAAGATATATAAATAACCTGCATAATATAGTTCGACATATATTATGTATATCAGAAAATGTGATAGAAGTCATTAATAGCTATATTCAAAAAGTTATTACATACCTGCAATTTTGAAGTATTTTCACCGCCTCTGTACGTTCGATTTCATCTAGCAATACGCAAGTTTGTAGAGTCAAATGTAAGCGATTATCTGACATAAAGAGGCGTTCATCAATACCAGGATACGATTTTTCCAAAACTTGAGTCTTAAAAATTAATATTTTAAAATTTGACAATTACCATATAAATATTATATTATTTACTCTAAAATCGATGAACTTCTCTCTGATATCACTTTTGTGTAGATCAATACCTACAAAATGAGTTTTCAGCAAACGTTTACGCAACGAAATTAAAATTTCATTAATTTTGTCGCGTGCAGCAAGAAGATTGGATCGTGATTTTCCTGCAAAATAGATTTTTATTTAAGATAATAAAATTATATACTTTTATACAATCACCTTTAATAATTAAAGAATTTGGTGTTCGGTGATGTTTCAAAATAATCTCGGTTTCAGTTTCAGATTCAAGACGACGTTTAGTGTTGCTCCTAAAACCGATTATGCCTCCAAAAAATGCCCTATGAATATATACAAATATAGATTAGCTTGAAATTGTTAATGTTATTTAAAAATTGAGTTTTACTTGGGTACATGACATTCCAGTTTAAACATTGAGTCAGGTAATTCTTCTATAGAAAAATTCGTTTTGTCCTCATCTTTATCACTTTTCTGGTTTAAGTCTAATCATAGGTAATATAATAATTAAATTATACAAAATTGTTATACTTCCTTACTGTTTTCTACACATTTTTTAGTTGTTGCCTGTTGCTGTGTTACATTATCTTTACCGCTCTTCTGGTGCAACTCTAATCAATATAATATTAAAGGTAGTAGGTCATAGGTAATACAATATAAAATTTATACAAAATAATTCTCGCTTACTCTTAGTTGCCTGTTGCTGTGATTCATTGTCTCCAATAAGATCCACATTCTGTACCAAATTAGGTTCCATTTGTTCTGAGGACGATTGCGGTATCTTTTCGCTCATTTTTAGAACTTTTATGACTGTTAAATTAAATCAATTTTATTGATTTAAAATTATTTTATATAATTTTTTGCCAATGATTATTAAATCAGGAACAATTTTCTAAAAATCGAAATAAATGTTAAGATTGAACTTAAAAATATTAATTTTTTTGACATAATTTTCATTTTAATTTTGTGGGAAATTTATTCGAGATGGCAACGCTGTAATATAATACATTTAGCTTAAAGTTCCGTTAATGGCAAATCAACATATTTTGTAAACAAGTTTGTATGTTATAATAAAACAAAATATTATCAAAAGTATATAGTAGCACAATAGGCTCAAAACTAAGGGACTGAGTTGGTTTATCTGCAATACCGGCTGCCGCTTGCACTTTACTATTATCCTAATTATTAGAAAACATATCTGGGAAAAATTAATTAATAACAACATAGAATGCAAAAACTACCCATTTTATTCAAATGTTTACACTTCCGTAAGAAATATCTGTATTTTTCAATCTCATTGTTAACACAAAAAAAAATATCAGTTTGGCGGGAATATATGTATACACCAATACTTCCCACTCCATTCAAAAATTTTTACCACCACTTTCATTTACTTATTGTTTTCTTAGACGCTACATAAGAAAGTTCCTAATGTTTAAATTTTTTCCCACTTTCGAATTCGTAGAAACAACGCAAAAAAATTTTCTTCAAGGTCTGATAAGAGTAACTTGACGTTTCCTTTTGACACACAACAGAGGCGCAAAATGTACGTGAATTTTTGATTTCAAAAACATTTCCCAAAGTTAACATTATTAGCAAATTATATGCATTTTATGTATATTATTACCGAATTTTTATTTGTTTTTGGGGTACGCTTTTAGTATTAAATAAAATTTTGTTACACACACTTTAACTTCTTTGCCAACGTATACAAAGTCTTGCAAATGTTCATTCTAAGTTTTTAACAAAAAATTTAATGTTTTATTTTGACATTATTAGCGCAAGCGCAGAAAAATTTATTTTAAAAATAATTTTATTACGAAGGTAACCTGTTGATTAAATTTAAAAACATTGTTGTATGCTTTACACGATTTTTTAATGTTTTTAGTTTTTATGCTATATATTATTTTGAACATAATATATTGTTGCAAAAGCAAGAATTGTATATATTTTTAAACATACTTCGTATATATAATATATTTGAATTAAATTAAAAAAAAAAAATGCGGTTAAACGTAACTAAGTCGTTCTATGTGAAATTAATTTTTGGCAAAACATATATGTCACAAGCTGAGCTTTTTAATTTTTAGCAGATTAAAATAAAACTGGATTTATATGTTTGACCATTATGCTAAATTTACTGATAAAATTTTTAAAATGGTTGATGCAGGTAAAGATTTAATATTTGTTTATTTAAAAAGTATAGTAATTACGAATTCGTTCTTGTATTTTTTTATAATTTTTGTATACAGTACATTCTCGGTTATTGCAACATATTGAAAACTAAGGCTGTTGCAAATACCAAGTTATTGCACTAACCGATGAAAAACTTACGTAACTGATCTAACAATCCTAATAAGTAGATACATAATTTCTATTGTACAAATATTCTATACTAGTAGATGACCCGGCGAACTCTGTTCCGCCTTAAAGGCAATAAATAAGCAGTTTTTTTTTAATTGGAAAAAATACAAAAAAAAAAAAATACCTACATTAATCATTCATAATTTATTTGTGTATTTTAGTACACATCGCAAATTATCTATTTGTTGACCTCTGTTGTTCGCTCGACCTTCAGTCCTTAAATTTGCAGTATTTCGTATTCTTCTTGCATTACGGCTTTGTCGGGAAAGATTCGATCGTCTTGGTCGCGGCATTATTAAAAAACTAAAAACTCAAATTTTCAACCATACCATACATTATAATTGTTAATTATTTATTTTGTTGAGTTTGCAACAACCAGGTAGTTTTATTGATTAAAAACGATATTTATTGCAACACAAACTTATATTGATCTAATACAACTTTTAAAAACACATTAACTAAGTTATATTTCTATCTGTTAAATTTTAATAAAATATTTTCTTATATCAAAAATTTGATAATTTCAAAACCTACTTTGTCGTGAACGGGATAAACGGGTATCCTATGTCCTTCTCCTGGCCTTAAACTACCTCCCTGCCAATTTTCAGCTAAATCGGTTCAGCCTATGTCCTTCTCCTGGCCTTAAACTACCTCCCTGCCAATTTTCAGCTAAATCGGTTCAGCCGTTCTTGAGTTATAAGTGGTGTAACAATAACACATTTTTCTTTTATATATATAGAAGAAGAAGATAATCTATATATATTCTATATATTCTATACAAATATTGTATACTATTATATAAATGATGAACATTTGTGTCCCATACAAATGTCATCCACAATGTTGTGGCATCCACAGTCACCCACAAAATAATATGATATAGTTAAGTCTTTTGGCATATTTAAATTGCCTTCTAATAACTTTCTGCCAATTTCGCACTCTCTTAAAATCCCTCCATCGCTGCGAGAGCCATATGCACCTACTTCAACCATAGTAAAACAATAGTTTTCATCACCGGTTGCTAGCAATACAATGCTCAATTTCGTATTGTAATTCGAAAATTTTGTTATCCTAATGGGAGCGTTAAAATGAATGTATTTTCCATCTATTGTCCTACACAATGTGGCATTTTCCATTTCATTTCATATGCTTTTGCAATGCGTAAATAATTGTCATTGTTGGGAGAAGCTAAATATATACTACCCAATAGATCCCATATTGCTTCACATGTATCCTTAAAAATGCTTCGCAATGTTGATTCGCCAATTAAATTTTTCCGCATATATAAATCCTATAAAATATATAAAATATTTGTAATTATATGATAAGTTTATTAGAAAATATATATCGCATTTATTTTAAATTATTTAATAGTACCATATTCTACCGTACCGCATATGTTTAGTTGCAGTTTATCTGTTAAACAACCATTTACTGACAATCAACAGGAGCTGGACTTCCTGTTTACGTAGTACTGACATCTATTATGTAGCACCATGTTAATATTTAAATTAAATTGAATAAATTAAAAATTCATATAGAAAAATTATTTCTACAGAATATTGCCGTCATAAACTTATACAAAATTCCATATAAAAGAAATTTTTACGTCGTCAATATTTTGCAGAATTTTTTTTTATATGAAATTTTATGTCAATTTTTATGCGAAATACATTTTTATGTCCTAAAACTAAATAAAAAAATTATAATGCTAATCCATCGCATAGGATTAGCATTTCCAACTAACTATGTTACAATTATAACAACACTGAACCATTTTGCACTCAAGCTGTATTGTGTAAGCAGCGTATATAAAATATGAATCGCACGTGCTATAACTTTATTTATTGACAACAGCAGAATATTTTTACTGGGTTTATTTTGTTTATTCGAAAATGTTGGCCGTTGATGTAAAGAAAAATGTGGAGCGGCCACAATCATGGAAAGTGATTAATGAAAATCGTAAAGCACTAAAAAAGCAACGTAAACAGGAAAAAGTTCTAAAGGAATTGGAGAGAGCAAAAAAAGCAGAGGAATTGGCAAAAGTCGCAGAAGAAGCGGAAGCACCAAAAGTAAATCCTTCAACTATAAGCATAGCAATTCCTGGCTCCATACTTGAAAATGCACAATCTGCAGAATTACGTTCCTATGTTGCTGGGCAAGTAGCAAGAGCGGCTTGTATTTTTCGAGTACATGAAGTGATCGTGTATGATGATGTTTGCGTGAGTACCGCACGTGAAACAAAACAGAATTATGATGAGTCCAATGGTAGTACCGTACGCAGTAGTTCCTTGCAATTAGCACGTATACTACAGTACCTTGAATGTCCACAATATTTGCGTAAATTTTTCTTTCCATTGCACAATGACCTAAAATATTCAGGATTGTTAAATCCACTCGATGCACCACATCATTTGCGGCAGCAACATGCGTTTTTATATCGTGAAGGAATAGTTACTGATAAGCCAGCCAAACAAGGGCAAAAATTTGTAAATGTGGGTTTACTAAATGAAGTACTTGTCGATCAAGCCGTAGAAGAAGGCCTAAGAGTTACTGTAAAATTAAATTTAAATGGTATGAATTAAAGTTCCATTATGTTAAAATTCAGTTAATTTTAGTTTAATTTTATATTTTTAGTGGAAAATAAAAAAAAATTGCGCGGCAGTTTGGTTAGTCCAGATGAACCACGTAGAGAGACTGGAGTTTATTGGGGCTATACGGTGCGTATAGCGCATTCAATATCAGAAATATTTACTAAAACGCCATATAAAGATGGATATGATCTTAGTATAGGTACATCCGATAAAGGTAAAAACGTGCAGGGAATTGGAAAACATGATTTAAAATTCAATCATCTGCTGATTGTGTTCGGTGGATTAAAGGGTTTGGAAGCTGCTTTAGCTAATGATGATAAGCTGGATATAGAAGATCCAGAATTATTATTTGATCATTATCTTAATGTGTTGCCCAGACAAGGGTCTCGCACAATACGTACTGAAGAAGCTGTGCTAGTTGCAATGGCTGCTTTACAAGAGAAATTATGCCCACAAAATGAAGAAATGGAGGAAATGTATAAAGATTTGCTACCAAGCAGTGAAGATACAGGGTTTACACCTTATATACAAAATAATAAAAAACCAAAAAAACGTAAATTTGCAGAACATACAACGATCGGTGATAAAGAAACTTCGAATGAATTCAAAAATAAATTAGAAACGTATGATGTGGACAATTCAATAACATCAGATAATAACGAACCTCCAAATAAATTCAAAAATAAATTTGAAAGTCACGATGTGGACAATTCAATAACAGATAATAACGAACGTCCAAATAAATTTAAAAATAAATTTAGAAGTCAAGATGTGGACAATTCAATAACAGATAATAACGAACGTCCAAATAAATTCAAAAATAAATTTAGAACTCAGGATGTGGATAATTCAATAACAGATAATAGAGAAACTCCAAATAAATTCAAAAATAAATTCCGGAGACAAGATGAAAATAATTCAATAATAGATAATAACGAACGTCCAAATAAATTCAACAATAAATTTAGAACTCAGAATGTGGATAATTCAATAACAGATAATAGAGAAACTCCAAATAAATTCAAAAATAAATTCCGGAGACAAGATGAAAATAATTCAATAATAGATAATAACGAACTCCAAATAAATTCAAAAATAAATTTAGAACGCATAACAAAGATAATTCAACAACTTTTAATGAAGAAAAAGGACAGTTCGCAAGTGAAAACGATGATTTTGAAGTAGTATCAGCAGTGCATCAAATTAATAATTCAGCTATTAAAGAAGATTCAGAGGATTTGAGTAGATTTGATTGAAACTGGTAATATTACTTATATATGATTAATAATACAATAATAATTTAAATGTTTATGTTTTTAGAAATTGTCTAGATGGACTATATCAAACATGCTCAATTAAAAACATTTTAAACATCATAAAATAATACTAATAAAAAGAAGCTACTCTGTTTTAAGAAGCTGTGATGGAATACTATTTATGTAATAAAACTTTTGTTGGAGTGAAATCAAAATATGTTTAGAAATTTTTTTTTGTTTAAAAGTTCTCGGTTTAGTTCATTAATGTGCTTATTACTTATAATTAAATATTAGAAATAATTCGATGATAACTGATGATAGGTATTTGGCAATATTCGAAACAGCAATGTAGTCAGCCAAAAATTCAAAATAATATGAAAAGAATTTTTGTTGTTGTAGTTCACTACTTTTCGAAACCTCTCTATTAAATATCACAGTCATCAGTTAAAAGATATATAAATGATAATGATTCTAGTATAGTTAAGGTTTAATGTGGGGCAGGGATAAACCCTCCAGCCACAAAAGAGTAAAAGTGCGCAATAGCACTAACTCAAATCACAACAACAACAACCACAGTTGCTATTAAGTAAAAATAACCACTACTGTCATATTGACGTTAAAATCAAATTTAAAATTATTGTGTTAAGTTTCTTACGTGATTTTATAAATTAATAAGCATTCAGTTTTTTACACATACTTAACATTTTTATTTATTTTTTTTTTTTAATTTATTATAATTAATATTTTTTGTCTTTTTATTTAATACTTCACCATCTAAATAACATTTATTATACAGATATATGCCATCTTTGTAAATATATAAAGCTTTTAAAAATAAATTGTTAATTATAATATTAACAGTTTAATGTAAATAAAGTTTTATTTTCAGATTTACCTTTAAAGTAACTTCGTTTGTAGCAAGTAAACTACAGCAATACATATACTCTTAATTGAAAATGTTTGCATATAATATATTTACTAAAATTATATATTTTTTATTTAAGGGAAGATGAAGAAATTATTTCAGTGATATATAAATCAAGTGAGAAATTGTTTATGTAAGTTCCAATCATTTTCTATAAAATGAATCATTAAACATATAATTTAGACTTATATCTGTCTTTTCCAAATAATCTAAGAGCATTTTCATGCTTTTAAATTATATAAATCATATATTAATAGCTTAAGTCTAATCTTACAATATATATTTACTTCCTGCATTTAATAAAATATACGAAATTAAAATATTAAATCCAACAGTCCCTATAATGACTTCTTATACTATATATAAATAGTTGACAATTTCATAAATTTCTGAATAGACTTCTTTTATTTTGGTATGAGTATTAATGCTATAATTTTACTAGAAGAACTTAAGCTTAACAATTTTTTTAATTTAAAAAGGCCTTCACAATTACAACTTCAATTTTGTAAAAATTTAGTTAAATTTCTCACACAAAGATTAAGCACAAATATAATTTAAAGATTCAAATTTTTTATAGACAAACATTTATACATAATATTCTTTTTCTAATTTATAATATTTTACATATATAGAAACTACATTGTATTCAATAGTATAAAGTTTCAAATAATTTTTGTTCTTCAATAATTTTTCTATAAAAAAAACATAGGCTTAGATATTTAAGAGGTACCCTAATATTGATTTCATATATATCTCAAACTTAACTTAAGTGGGCGTTGTCAATCAGTCAATTTTTTTTTTTTGGTTATTTTTAAGCGTTGATTTCAAGTAGATTTAATAAATATGGGATCAGATGGTAAATACTTAGCATTCGAAAACCAATCAAAACTAATCGATGACCTTACATATATAGATTATATTAAATAGAAAAAATTAATTTATAATAAAATAGATCGGTTACTTTACCCTTTACTGGAATGTGTAAGCGTATGTGTATATGTGGGTGAGTTACTATTAATACTATATTCTTTTTTTTTTCTTTTGTCTATATACAAAACATTTACATAAATCGACACTTAGTATTTAAGAAACTTGATTCTTTTTGTTCACTTATCATTCCAACTAACTGACTTCGAAACGTTGCTATACGAGTATATATCTCGAAATATTTATTATATATAATATGTTGCAACGTTATCGTCGGAAATTATTAACTATGGAACACTCGAATCCAGGAAACGAGTTTCAGGAAATACATCCTCTTCCATTTCAATGCGAGTATCGCTGTGATGTCCCAGTAATGATTCTGTATCCTCTTCCAAATGTCTTATAGGATAGCTAATACCATCTCCAAAGCTGAATTTTATAATTTATAAAAGAAAAATTAAGTAGATTAGAAAAAAAATTTATATACTTATATGGTAATATAGTTTTTGGGTTTTTATATATTATATACTTTTATTTTTATGTAAAAATTTAATATGATTTGTATTGAAGAGAGCACAAGGTTAATATAAAATATGTTCAATACATTAAGCAAAAAACTACTATCGAAATATGTGAAACAATTGTGTAGAAAAATGAAACAGCTTCTGCGATTGATAAAGTATAGGAGCATTATATTATATGAATTGTGGGGATTACTATACATCGCGACGTAGGTGGTTATTGTTTTAACCACAATTATCTTAACGGATACTATAGTCTTTAGGGAACGTCAGTAACTTGTTTGATTTTGTTTTATTCCATACAGTTTGCTGCTCTTCACTTTTGGACATTCATTGAGAATGCGCTCAGACACTTCACAATACAAATTATATATGATATATTTGCTGTAGAAGATAATGCAGAAGCTTCGAAAATTATCAACAGTGATGAAAAGGCATTAAAACCATTTGAGAGAAAAATTTTTCAGAAGATCTATGGTCCCTTACGAGTATCGATTTAGACGAAATGATGGGCTGTATGAGTTATACCGCGATATTGATATAGTTAAGCGCTTTTATGCGCTAAACTGTGTAAATAGAAAATGTGCTCCGGCTAGAAAGGTGGACGGAGAGTACGTCCGTATCTTCGGTGAAAAGATCAGGTGACCAACGATTTGGGGGAGCTCGATACTAACAATTGGCGACAGCAAGCCACTGATCGGGTTGGCTGACGGAGGCTAGTGGATGCAGCCAAGGAGATACACGTCTGTAATTGCCAACTAAGTAAGTTAAATATAGTCGAAAAGCTGCTGTAGGTAAAAGTCGAAAGATATTGAGAATGCTAGCTTAAGGGAAACTTAAGATTGGTATTTATTGTTTGGTTAAATATGTAAAAACAATAATAAAAATGCCTATATATATTTTGAATATAATGTTATATGCTACACACAAATTTTTTAATAATTATGAAGAATTGAAAAAGGCCTTAACGTTTATTTAATACATTTTAAGCGAAGTACTTAATAAGAAGAAGCAAAGATCCCTACTCTGAGAAATATGAATCTTATTATGATTGTACTTCAAGATTTTCTGGCAAATATTTTTAACATAATTATTTTTTCCATTTAATAAAATTTTTATTTAATAAAATTTTTTTATTGTAGCATTCTAACAACAAATATCAATTAATATACATATACGTAATATAATATATTAAACATATATATATGATTACATACATATATATACAAAATATTAGCTACTGTGGCAAATTAAAAACACACTTTTATCTTTGTTTTAAGAAATAATTTTTTAATTTATAAAAAATAGTTTTTAAATTTTTAAAAAATTTATTAAACTACAAATTTCAAGCATACAAAAAATAGATAAAAATTTATTTTCACAAAAAATTAAATTTATATATAGAAAAAGTGTATAATAATAGGTAAAAAAAAGATTTACATTAAATTTAATAAATTACATATTTTTTATTTTAAAAATACAGAAATGTTTAAAAATAAATATGTAATGACTTAATATGAAATTATCAGGTGTTATGCATATATATAAAAAATAATTAATAAAAATTTTAATCTAATTTTTCAATCATCAACCTTTTTAAAAAAGTATATATAAAAAGAATGTACAAAAAAAAAACACTTAAAAAAATACAAATATAATTACAAAAAATGAAGAAAAAATAAAATACAAAAAACAAATATATATATATAAATACAAAAAAAAATATATATAAATACAAAAAAATATATATATGTAAATTTATAAAAAAAAACATATATAAATATAAAACCAAAAATAATATAAACAAATACTAAAATAAATTGATTAAAAATAGATTATTTGATGTGCTTATTTAACTGGTTACAATTTTGAATTTAAATATATATAATAAAATACAATTTCAAAACTCTTTACGACTAAATTGTATCTTTTTCCCCTGTATTTGTAAAAGATGCTATATAGATATATAACTTAAAACCAAAATGTATGTAATTTAAAAATTCTATAAACAATTTATTTAAATGACTACTTCCAACACCTATAGTGATATCGTATCTTACATTTTGTACAAGATTCTACTACTTACAGATTTTCCATTAAAAATAAGATAAGATTAGGATTAGGTTATTTTGAAGAGTCTAAAGGTACACTTAAGCTTATCGGGTCATTTTGCTGTTCAGCTAACAGTTATTTGTATAAGATCCTATACCAATTAACAAACTCTATAAATATCGCATTGCTTATTTATTTTTAATAAATATTGGATCTGTGAACTTCACATTTAGTTTAACTTGAGAAGTTTTTTTTTTGGTGACAGCACTATAACATTTATAGATTGTATACAGAGGTGTACATCTTGTCCATTTTAAAAAAGCTTTTTCGCTTGCATTTTAATATAAAATATCTACTTTGGTCATTGTAATGTCCTCTATTGAGACCCATAAATCTGTTAAATACTATTTCATTTGAAACTAACACTGACTAGTGAACACCAACCATAAACGAGTTTAATGACCCAATTTTATTTTCTTGTTGTGTTGTTTTTTGTTTATTGATTAGAATTCTTAGAGTCCCATTGGAGTGAAATTTTCACGAATCAAATTTATTATTATACACAGTAAGGCCTACGATGACGAAGCCTGCATTTTGTTAGAGTTGCTCGTATTGGTCGTTGTATTCATTGTTTATAAGTTGTTATTATTTATATTCTAGTTCTCGGCGTTAGTCACATATTACACATCCGGGGTATTAAATACTAAAGGACTATGTCTAGGTCCAAGTCATACGCCGTTATAGAAATACTATTCTCCAGATAAGTACGTAATGTTTAGATATTGGCTCAGTGACTGAATTAACAATCGGATATTGGTTACCACCGCTTCAGAAATGTAGTTTTTCTTCGGATATGTTGCCTCAAAGGTCTCAGGTTAATTAACTAGTATGTGATGGTTATTATTGTAGTGCTGTCTTACTCGGTGATCAGCTTTAAGTACCTTTTGTTACCGTATGAATCGACTTGCGCAAGTATAGCATCATAGTAGCTTGCTGCATATCTCTGGTCTCAATACAATTTTTTGGTGAACTTTGAAGTATAAGAACATTTTATTTTTGCACTAGATCGGCAACGTTGTTAATTCCGTTTGTATATTTGAGTGTTACAAATGCACAACATTTAATTATAATAATGCTATTCTACCACTTATATCTATTGAGTTTTCCCATGAAATTTCCTAAATAATGCTGGATAGAAATTGAGCTATCTGGCATGGTATAGTTATAATAATGTATACCATCGTGACTTGCTTTCCCATGAACTTTCCTAAGCTATTCTGCATACAAATTAAGATTATTAATAATGCTGGCATGATTCCGAGCACGACCATTTGACAACAAATCTTAGTAACGAATGTTAGCTTTTTCAAACAACCTTTTCCACTATATGGTATGTGTTAATATAGCTTATTTTTTCAAATATGGGAAACTGACAATAACAAATAACATGCATAATCAATTTATGTATAATGTATAATCAATTTAAAAAATGTATATACTATTTAGTGATAGAGGGTCATAGGGCCTCTGTTCTACTAGCAGAGACGGACAGCAATAAATATGTAATTTACAAAAAGGCATGTGCAGTTTTTGTTAGTGATGTTAAATGCAAATGTAAAAAGTTTTCAACTTCAAACCGCGATCATCTAGAAATGTGAGTTAAGTCCGCATATATAATTTGCTGAAAAAAGTTGCTCAAAATAGCTGACTGTACTATAATCCGTTATCAAATAGAAATCAGAATTGCTTGAGCTAATCTTTAGTTAAAGTTTTAGACCAAACTTATAGGATTTAACAAAAACCAGATAGATGTACCTTATTTGACTCTATTTTTAAATAACCGATGTAAGCTATTTAAGTATTTATTTCTTTTAGTTGTATGATTAATGAATTATAATATTTTATATCTATTTTATAAATTACAAAATGGTTAATATTCATTTAATTTCTATTTCATTTAATGGCTTAAACTTCATCAGTTGTTTTAGCATTTTAGCACATCTCTGGCAAAATTTTCTATTCATAACGGCACAGTTTGATAATTTTCCAATAAAAATAAAAATAAAAATTTTAAAATTAACGAAAAAAAAAAATAAAAAAAAATAACTAAATAAAAACAAATTAATTAAAAGTAATTATAATTAAATATTTAAAAAATTTCATTCCAAAATTCAAAACTTCAATACTATTACTTAAGTTAAGCAAGTTATTTATCATATACAAATAATTTACAAAAGAAAATCATAATTAACTTAATTATTACAATCTCATAACTGACAAGAACATGTAAATATAAAATTACATATAAAAGCATTAATAAAATTTTATTTAAAATTATAAAAAAAACTATATTACATTTTTTAATAAAGAAAATTTTTTAAGTATTCGTATTGCGTAAATTATTTATTACAAATTATTATTATAATAAATTTTAAATAATTATTTTCAATACAAGTTGTTTTTTTAAAGCAAAATATAAGACTTGGTCCACCATATTTAATTTATTAAAATTTTTCTTTTTAAACTTACTTAATCATGCCTAAGTTTGTCATTATAAAAAACACAATACCAACATTTAAAAAAAATATACAAATTTTTTCTTACATAGATCATTTCTAATAAAATTGATATGAATGTCCTTTATGCTTCTAATTACTTGATTACTTGATTACATGATATGAATGAAAATTTTGATTATAAACAGGCAATAATTTGTTTTTTTTTATTGTTAACTACAATAGGCAGTAGCGTTCATGCTACACTAGCATAAATGTCTAAATAAAAAAGATATGAAGGAAGGAAAAGCATTTTCCTATATTGGACGTTGAGTTTCAATGCCAGTCATTTTGTTTTTAATCTGGTTAGTTGAAGTATCTGTCGACTCTGGACTTTCTTCGGTAATGCGCATATCGATAACGACGCTTCCTCCAGAACTATTATTGCTACGTGGACTAAATTCTGGATCTAGTACTGACGTATTACTTTTAGTTGTTGTGGACAACTCGTCATTGGTCGTTGTCTGAGTTCTGCTATGTGGCATTAGGGCATCTGACAATTGTTGTTGACTTGGGCTTTGAAAATAATTATGATGACAATGATGATAATGATGTTTATTAATATATAATTCATTAATGTTAATTAATTTAACAGTTGGTTGAGTTTCTAACCTGGTTTGTGTATCTCCCATTGAATGATAATTTTGCTGTTGAGTGCGCGTTGTACATTGTAGACCATCACCCAAACTATGCGGGCAAGATTTTATGATATTAGAAAATTTTACATAAATTAAAAATTTATAAAGTTTTGTTATGAAATGGTATAGAATACATTTATAGACAACATAAAATAATTTTATTTCTATGTGTAATATAATTTGAGAGCATAAAAACTTAGTACCATTGTTGCGTTTACATAAAAATTTTTTTTATTATGCTCCTTTATATACATGATATATATATAAAAAAGTCTTATAATATAATAAAATATATACATAAAAATATAAAAAAAATATGTCATATATATATGTATTTGTAACTTTTATATATATGATCAACTTTTTTGATTATCATCGGGTTCAGGTGGTTTATTTAACACATAAATATAAATTTTTTTTTTTTAAATAAAAAATTACATACATTAATTTAATAATAATTAATATTTCAATTATATTTTAATTTTTATAATTATAATTATTATTTAATTAATTTATAATTATTTACATTACAGATATTTCGGTCTATTTCGTAGAGCATCTTCAGTGTATCTGTTAATATATATAAAAATTAAATTACCGTGAACATCGGATTTCTTTCCAAAAAACTAAATGCAATTTTTTATATTTACAAGCAACACTAAGTAACCATTTTATTACGAATCTAGATTGCTTAGTAACTCTTTTGTGATTTTGGGTACGATATACACTTTTAAAAATTAGTTTAAAAAAAAATTAAACTAACCAAAAAACGTATTAACATTGGACAACACAAACAACATTACATAGATTGTATGTGCAATATAAAGAATTTTTTTTAGAAATTAATATACATATTTTCATTTATTTGACCAAAATTGTGAAGGTATAGCAGGTTTGCCAAATACAATAATTATATATGTCCAACCCCTATGTGCGCCCAACTCATATCTCTACTTCTTATGATGCCACTTATCTATTTTCATGTTAGTTTCTGAATGTGTGTTTATAGCTCTGACCTACTGAGGAACTAAGGATAATTCATTTGAATCCAGGCTAAGTTCAACATGTACTTGTTTACACACTACTACCTTATACCTACTCACTTTTCTTATCCTACCCTATATACAACATTTTTTGTTATGTTATTGTTGTCGTTGTAGCGTGAGAAGTTCTATTTTGCAGATCAGTCATCAAAGAAATTTCAAAGTACGTATGGCTGGATTAAGACATGGATTAGATAAGGGGTAAGTGAATAGAAGAGGAATGGTGGGATAACTTTTTCACATTTTTATTTATGCTTGAGTTACGATAATAATAAGACTATGTATCTTAAAGATGTTTGTTTTCAAAACAAAATATGTAATATTGCTTTTCAGGCCAATTTGAATTAAAACAACAACAACACTACTTAAAAGAAAGTTATTATTAATATATATATTAAATCAAATTTTGCTATCGTTATTGGAGTACTCACTTTTGGTAACTGTAATTTATTACTAATTATATAGAATAGAAATTTAGATCTAGTACTTGTTTTCTACTTAATATACAACAATTTTAACGGAAGTTTGCTTATGACTAAAGAAATAAAATATTGCCTATATTATTTCAAAAAAATAATTATAAATAATTTTAGGATATATACTAAAATAATTGCATATGTATTTAGTTTTTTTTTTTTTGAATGATATTAGTATATATGTGAAAAGTATTTTGCTTTAAGAAAATTAATCTGCGTTACCTGTTACGCACATAATTATATATAACAATGGTTTTAGAGAAGAAAAGATTAATATCGAATATATTATAATTGGAAGTACATCACGGTTTATCAAAGCTATATTAATACATTGTTTCGAAAGTCACAAATCTAACTTATTTCCCATTTTGAAAAGAATATTTTAGATATTTTACAACTGATTAATAATAAATTCACTTAGAGTTGTTTTTTTTTCATATAAATTATAATATTATCTTCGGCAAACGACTAAAATGCCATAGTACAGCTATATATATATAATATATCTATATATAAATTTCTTTGTAATACAACAAATTTAAAATGAAATAAAATAAAACTAAATTACTACTACTAGTAAAATCTTAAGCAGCTGTTCAGATCAATTATAATATTTAAAGTTTTAGATTTGATATACTCTCTCTTCTATTACTCCTGCTTTTATTAGAAAATAAATTTTTTTACTAATGGGATTTGCAAATTTTCTGTTATTAATTATTACATTTCTTTATTATTACTGAGCTTAGGTCGTTTATTTAACACACAAAAATTAAAAATGTTTTTTTAAATAAAATATTTTTGTTGTTAGTACCTTTATCTCTTATAGGGGCATAGACATATTTCCATCTCGTAAAAAATTACACGTATAACTTTGTGTTAAATATTTAATTCTATTTTAATTATTTTATTTTAAATATTTAACATAAATTTATAAGCTAATTTTTTATTTAAAAAAATATTCTTAATTTTTATGTGTTAAATTAATGATCTAAACCCAGTAGTAACAAAAAACGTATTGAAAATTGGTCGCAATAACAATTTATTAAGTATTACAAATGTAGTTTGACCTTTTTAAATATATAATTAATTTATGTCTACAAAAAAGTATTTTTAATTAAAAATTAATTATTTTATAATTTTTAAAAATTGCCTTATATTAAGCTTTCGTGTATTATATTTTTTTACATGTTATTTACATTATAATTAACTATTTTTTTTACAACCAATGTTTAATTTTTACAAAACTTATATTAGTGTTTAAAACTAAATTTATATATGATTTAGTGACAAACATAATAGTATTAGTAATAATCTAAGATATAAACTATTTTAGAAATAAATGTTAATCAAATGCAAAAATTTTGAAATTAATAAATAAAATAAAACAAAAGAAAGATTAAATGCCACGCGGTCTTTAACATGGTTTTTAATTTGCCAAATAACTATAAATGAATTAGTTTTGCTATCTCTAAGAATTTTGCCATTTTAAAAAATTTTTGCTTACAGAACATTTAGCAAGCAAATTAAGAGTTTTTATGTTAAGGCAAACCATTACAGCAGCGCATATAGGGCGTGTGTTAGATAAAAATAAATATGTTATATGCTTACCTGGTATAAACTGGTAAGAACCACAGTTTCCAATTATCACCAAAAACTTCTTGGAAATTTGCATATTTACCTAAATTAAAACCATTTTTATCTGGTCCACCAATGCGAAATATTGGTGCACGGAATGCCTCTAAAAAATTCGAAGAAAAAAAAAGAATATTTGCATGTGTTTAACAAAAGTGCACAAATTAAAATTAATAGCAAAAATTATTTACCCAAAGTAGTGCGATTCATTAAAACTAAATATACGTGATATCCGAATAGACTCACTAGACTTATTGCAAACATTACAGCCACAAAAAATAGGAATAATATATGAAAACGTCCCATACCGCCATTAAGTTCACCCTGTTGTAAAAATTCAGACTTGATATTTTCATAAATTGACATAATGCACACAAATAAAAAAGAAAAGAAATTACAAATTAAAACTATATAGACGATCATTTCAGATAGGAAAGTAGAGAAATTATAACTAAATATCAAAGCTTCACATACCCGCCAAAACTTTATAAAATTTTCCAATGAAGTTAACGCTACATACAAACAATAGAGCAGAGCGTAACCCAAGAAGAGTATAAAAAATTTATAATTCGTAAAATTAACGCAATTATTGACCCATGGACAATGGTGATCCATCTTGAGAACGCATGCACCACAAACGCTGCAATGATGTGCGCGATCCGGTTTTATTATTCTACATTTCTCACAGAAACGCACCAAGCCACTGAGTGTACTAATAAAAAAAATATAATAAAAATTTAATTAATAAAATAAAATAATTAATTAAATAAAATACAAACCGATTTGATACTGGCAAGGACTTAGCACAACTTTCCAATATTCGTCGTTGTTGCTCTTGATTCTCTGCATGGAATATTCGTTCTAATTCGGTTTCTGGTATGCGCCACTAAAATTAATTAAGTAAGAGAAATAATATTAAATATAATGAATATACATTTAAATAGTAAACATATTAATAATATATGATTGTCTTATTAAAGTCGGTTGTTGTTGTTATTGCAACCAGTAGGGGTCTGTAAAGCAGATAACATGAAGAGAATTACAAGATAAAAACAAGGGTGATGATGTGCAGGGGTATTGCTTGTGTGAGAGAGAAAGAAATTATTCGGATGTAAGATTTGATTGGAGATTATAACTCGATTGATCTGGAAAGTAAGGATAATAGTATAAGGCGAAGTTCTATATTGATCTAGAATAATTTTTGCTGCAATTGTGAAGCTACTTTTGTCACCAGATACATATATCAGACGAAAACATTAAGAACTTTATTGTGTTAGAACTGTAACTTCAAAAAAGAAACGGCTACGATATATCGAAGGCAGTAAGGTCTTGTAAAAATTTGCCCTAACAAAAAAATGAATTGTGTTATTTTCATTATTTAAACAGTGAAAATAGTTAGTTGGAGAATAATATATAAGCTATCATCCATAATTAAAAAATTTCAGTTGAATGAAAACATATTTTCGGTAACTGTGAAAACTACTAGCAATAATCATTAAATTTGATATTAAAAAACTTGAATTAATTGTGAATGAAAAGAGTAAAAACAATTTTATAATTAAAGGAAACAGATGTGTTAACGTATAATAGATAATCCAAAAATAAATAAACAGTTGACAAACTAGTTTACTGAATAGAACAAAATGAAATAAAATTAAATTTCGTTCTCAAGAGTAATATGTCATAGTTGAGGATTCACACAACTATGGATCCTCAGCTAGTTGTGACCACTCACTACTCCTATATTTATCAAAATTTTACAATTTTTTTGAATTCTTCCACATACTCACGGGATTTAAAAAAGATAATGTTCTACACATAATTGACACATTATATATATTGATTTATATGGGCCCAATGTCAGATTAAGGATTAAACTACAATCACTGAATACTGGATTAAATATAATTATAATTTCAAAAACTGGCTAGCTTTTAAGAACGGTCGGGTCTTAATTAACGAAACCGTGAAATTAACAAAAGGAGAATATAAATTAAAATATAAAGCGGAAACGGGCTTGCAGTGACTGATCTTGAACACTGTTGTTGAATGCATAGGAAAATGTCCTAGGCATGCTTTCTCACAAATGTAATATTTTAGATAACTGCCATTATAGTAAAATATGCAATACTTCGTCTACATTAACAAGGTTTGGCAAGATTTTTGCATACGAATATCCTTTCACTTTTTCACTAACATATTCAAATTTTTTTGTTCGCAGACAAAATTCGAAAATAGTACATATTGGTATATATAGACAAGGCAATGTAGACGACAAGGCAGTGTAGACGACAAGGCAGTGTAGACGACAAGGCAAGTTAAGAACCTTAAAAAATGAATAAAATAAAAAACTTAGCGTCTAGACTGACTAGACTTTGGCATTATTTTTATGTTTGAATGCAAATACATATTATTTTTGAATTTTGTCTGTGAATAAAAATATGTGAGTTAAGTGAAAAAGTGAGAACGTATGCAAAAATCTTTCCAAAGTCTAGCCAGTGTAAGCGCATAAATACAACGTGGGGATCACATGTGTAGTCAGTACATTTATATTAATACCAGTTTGTGATGTAAAAAGACACTTTTGAAAACAGATTATTATATATGTGTGTTCTTTATTTAAAGTATTTTATGGACATTTTTGAAATTTGTACATTCCACACATATTCAACATAATTTTAGTAAAGCGTAGATACCCTATTATTTTTTAGGTTCTTTACAATATTGCTCATATTGTGTTTAATACATAAGAAACATATCAAACAATTAAAAAACTTGTATCTTATCTGCCTTTTCATTAATTGTTAATTGTTTACTCAATACTGATAAGTTTTTCATGAAAATTTCATTCTGTCGTAAAATTATTCGATGAAGTAAAACTTTTATGTATTTCTACATAACAAATTATAAACAAATTTCCATAGTTATGACGTCATTTATAATGGGGTTTTTTAAATTTTAAATTAATATAAATAAATTTAGGAATATAATTATAAATGAAGCTTACGTTTGAAGGAACTTTTCCCGCTGGCGTGAAAATCGTATTCCAATAAGACCAAACAAATAGAAAAAAAATTACATGATAAAATATAAGAAATATTGTCTTCTCAAACACATTCTCAATAGAAACTGTAATTAAAAATATATTTTTAAAATGTATGTTTAAAAATAGCAAATAATTTACATATGCAAAGCTGGACAACGTAAGCGTAATAAGACCAGGCAATTACTGCCCCAATAAATAACACTGGAATCCATTTTAAGGCCTTCATGCAGGTATTACAAGGTGCTGACTTTTTTCTTTGATAATCATAATTTCCCATTCTGTTGGCACCGGACACTCGCTTACGCGATTCGTTATTTGCTTCGACAGATCCGTTTCCGCCAATTGGAACAAGAGGCTGATGTGTGCTATGTAATGCTTGCAGCGCCGTTTCAACGATTTTGTTGCTTGATGGTTACGTTCAACAATAAATAAATAAAAGCTTACGGCAATTATACTTCAAAAGGGCAGTGAGTCACCGTTTCTATATTATCAGTTATGTCTTAATTCCATTTTTTTTTAAATTATAAAAATATAATTAACTTATCGTTGTTATTCGAGATTAACATCAATTTTTGTTACAGTTCATGTAACGTGGTACTTAAACAGCATTTAATAATTTTATAAATAAATAATTTGTTTTATTTTGATTTGCTTTCGCTTTTATTTAAAATAATTTATTTATTCTTGCAGTGAAAGTGTTTTCCAATTCCGCTGCTTTTTTTCTCGTTAGTGTTGTTGTTTTTTTTTTGGTTTTTGTCAACACCTTTGCCACTCGCAACGTCAAGCAATGCAATGGAATAGAGCTGTCAAAAGAGTACACTTAACATAAATTATATATTTTAATATATGAAGAGATTTTATAATTTGTGTCAAACTAATACTTGTTTTAGCGTTAATGTCGAATTTAGAGAATGACTATAGATATTCTAGTCAAGTATAGTAATCACGAAGATTAAATAAAATGGTATACACTTGAATAATTATGTATAATTATATTAATAATACTAACACATAAATTCAACACACATTTACGCTATAATTTGCGAAAATTTTTATAATATACTTTTATATTTACATTGAAATTGAATAATGCGAATTAAATTAAAAAATTACTACAATTATTTTGCGAGATACAGAGATGTTAAGGCTGTTAACGTTCGAGCCGCTGTAGTAAGACAGCCGCTGTTGTTTTGCATGACATTTTGCACGCTACACGAAATTTGTTAGACAGCAATAAAACTTATGCATCGCATGTATGTCGTACCAGTTTTGCGGATAACATATTTTATATAATTTGTTATAAGTAAATTCAGGTTATAAATAAATAAAGCACAAATGTTAAATACTAAAACAATCGTTTAAAAACTTTAGAAGGCTTATTTAAAACGTTTCTAATATTTTCATTGTTGTTACTATCCAATTTGAGATCCAACTGTTTAAAGGAAGTCTTTTTGATTTACCTTTCAACAAAAATTCAAATTAATTTATTGAATAGCATTTATTCACTAATATTGATGAATGGTGCTTATACTCGTATGTAACCTAGTGGGTGCATTGGTTTGCATACACCATTAAAATCTTCTTAGTAAATAACTATACTTACCGCTAAAATTCGCTAAAATAAGTCCACTTTCCTGAAAGTGCTTAACGAATAAGCCTCTCGCACTACAATGGTGCCAAATCTTAAAACTGATCTATTGTGTATGATTTATGGAAGATAATGAAAAACTGCAGTCAACTGTTTAATATTTACAATTATTGCGAGTGTTTATGAGTGAAGAAGTTAATTATTTATTAAAGAATTTTTAATTTCTGAGTATATAAATGGATATTTATATAAAAACCTTTTTTATAAAATTTAACTGCAAATTTGTTTGAAATTTTCTTACTTGTCATATGTATACTGAATTAGGCAGTAAGCACCAAAAGTTGTTCTTATAGAGCAATCATATGAAATGAATACACCTTACATTGTATAGGAAATTTAAAATTTGTCAAATTTAAAATACGTTATTCTATATTATTTGAGCAACACTGTTCTATGCAGACTAAAAAAAAGCGTTTTACAACACTAATTCCTCTTGTTGGATTTTCTGCAAACTATGCGCAGTCGATTTTTTTCTGTCGTCGGAGTAGTGAGTGTATCAGATTTTATCGGAACTAAATAATTTTTAAGTCTAAATTATTGCTAAAATAATAACAAAATAAAATTCAAAAGTAAATACAAAAATTAACAATAAGTTGAAATGAAAACTTAAAACAGATGCATAAAAGTCTATACAAAAATAAAAACAAAATTTTAATAATTATAAGATTTTATGTGGATAACAAAAAATGTGCAGACCGTAAATGAGAAAAAAAAAATTGGTTTGAATAGATAAAAAACGACTTGCAAACACATGATTTGTAAAAAAATAATTCGTCCTTCTCCTTCATCATATTGTTTGTTTGTTAGGATGATGTATTCGAAGGAAAGGCCATCGGGTCATCTTAGATTAGTTGTTAGTGCTTAGAGGCCTTAAACCCAACGTGCATGGATTACCGGTTTCTGTTGAGATTATTTAGATAATATTTCAAAACAAATTTGTTTTGGCTATTGAATTTCATTTACAGAGTTATTGGCTCTATTTTTATATTTGTTCTCCTCTTAACTTGTTGCTAAGACTTTATTTATTAGTTTTATTTATGAGCCGTAATTTTCTGACAGTTGCTGTTACTTTTAATGTATAATATATATAGTGTTAAAATAAAAATGTTATCTTATTTTCTTTTTATTTTAACTTAATAAAAATTATATAATTTTTTAGATTTGGTTAAAATACTTTTTTTTATTTTTTGAGTGTAAAAATAAGATAACAAATGCTAATCTTTTGGAGGTAAATCATGTAAACAAACAAATTTATTTGGGTGCTTAAAAATAGTTAAATTGCTAAAGTAGTTTTTCTTACTTCTTTTTTCATTATTTTTAATTAATTGTTGAAAAATATTAACATACTTTTCGAAAGTACTTGCTTTATTAAGTATTATAACTTTTATTTAAATTTCTGTTACTTAAAGCAAAGTATGTTCTTCTGCAAATGAATGGATGCGCTGGGAAGCACTTAGAAATGTTTGTAGAAATAGGGGGCGGTGCTTGATGTAAAGTAATTAAAAAAGGTTAAAGGTTTAATTATATATATATAATTATATTAATATAAATATGCTTTGAAATAGAAAAAGGTTATTAATGGGGCACAGTTTTCTAATAAAGTATATAATTAATTTTGAATTCAATATTAAATGTATTTCAACAAAAACTTCTCATGAAAATCTAAAAAAAAGGGCTCGTTAAATATACAGATAAAGAGTTTAAAAGACAAAAGTAAACATCAAATTAAAAAAAAATTATTGTTAATATATTATTGCTAAAAATATTGTTAAATTTTTGTTCTAAATTAAATTTTTCAAGAATTGTAAATAAGTTGCTAAGGAAAGTTTTAATTTCAAATTAAATTTTTCAAAAATGTTTTAAGTAGTTGCTATGGAAAATTTATAAACGTTTAGACTAGCACAAGCGCTATTACTTATTAAATATTGTGCAGTAATAAGTGGCACTTTTCATACAAAATCCATACATAATCCATACAAATATGTTACCGTTTAGATTAACTAACACAAGCGCTATTATTTATTCGTTATTGTGCAATAATAAGTGCCACTTTTCATACAAAATCCATACATAATCCATACAAATATGTTCTTATTAGGTTCGATAATTGTAAGTGTGAATATAGTAAAGGACTTTAAAAGGAAAAGTAACAGAATGAGGTAGCTGAAGTATTTTAGCAGATCTTTTGCGTGAAGATATATTAAAGTATAGGCAGAAAGAAATTTTAAAACAACAACTAGTTTAAACAGCTAATGATCTTTAATTTAAATAATGAAAATTAAAGAAAAACAGAGCGAAAAGGGAGTAAAAAAATTTTGTATAACATGAGAAATGAAGAAAGATGCTCTAATATACTTTGAAGTTTAATAAAAACTTCATAGACATACTTTGATAAAATAATTTAATAATAAGTTAGGAATATAAAAAGAGAAAGAAAAAAGAATTTTTAAGAAATTAATTCACGAGGAAGGTTTAAACCAACTAATTTGAAATAAAACTCAATGAAAAAGTTGTGAAAAACCGAAATAAATAAATGCTTTGAAGAATAAGTTCTGGAGAAAAACTATTTTAATAATTAAAAAAAAAAAAAAGTTGTACTGCCGCTAAAAACAAAAAATTGAAAAAATTAAAAGTTTTTTTGTATATAAAAAAATTTAAAAATATTGTTATGTTTGTTATGTACAAAATTTATTTCCAATAATAAATTTAATAAATAATTGAATAATTTAAAAACAGTTTTGGTTTCAATTTTTAATCATAATTTTTATACAATTTTATTTTCTTTAAATTATTTAATATTTAAAACCACATGATTATTAATTTTTTTTATTAAAATGGTTTAATTTAATTTATTAAAATTTAAAGAAATATATATTTTTAATACAGATATCAAAAAAAAAAAAAAAATAAATAAAATATAAGAAAAAATATTAATTAACGCATTTTCGTAATATTAAAAATCTATGGAAACTAGTTCCCGCTCAGTTTTTATTGATAAAGTTACATGACTACGAAAATAAATCGAGACAAAATTGACTAACCCTCGCCATTACCAAGCGCAAATGGTGCTAAATAGTTTTTAACATATTCAAAATTAAATTAATATACTTCGCATTACAAAAAAAAAACAAAAAACAAATAAAAATAAATAAAAATTAAAAAAGAAAATAATTTTTAATTGAAAAACAAGAAATATTTTTTAAACGATATATAAGTACTTAAGTGAAAGCCTGATAATTTTCACGCCATAACGACAGAGTCGTCCTGCAGCATTTCACTGGAAATACACATTTCCACATTTAGTATATTTATTTAAGTAATCTAAAACAGGTAAGTTTATCTGAAAAAAATTTTAAATATATATATATGTATGTATGTTGTTGCGTTCATGATTGTAACTTGCAAATTGAAAGTAGCATCTCAAACTCTGAGATAGTTTTTAATTTCGTTTTTTCAAAATTACATTTTTCAATAGATAAAAAATTATAATAAAAAACTATTTATTACTCAAATATAATGTAAGTTAAAATCTTTTAAAAGTTTAGTAAAATAAAGCAAAATATTACAAAAATAATTATAATATATTTTGTCTAAATTTATTAAAAGCCTTAATTAAACTTTGATTCCATTAAGCGATGAAATTTATTTCTGATAGTGATAATGTGGAAAAGAATCTAAAACCCATAATGCATATAAGTTCCAACGCTAGTAAAGTTATTAAAAATAATCTTCCCTAGATCTTTTCATTAAGTTAAACCTTTAAATATGTTCATTTACGGAATATTAAATCTGACATATTTCAATATAGAAAGTAATCCTATTTAAAGTAAATGAATTTTTCTTTAAGAACTTAGAACTAAAAAAAATTATACACATATATGTATGTAGGCTGCATTATCCATATTTAGTTCTCTCCCGCATCTGTTATTTCCTTAGCAGAAGCTGTTAACCTACAACCTAAAATCTGTGGGTATCACCACGGTTGCCACTTGAAAATTTTTTTCTGTACCAAAATTGGTTTAAAAAGGTACCATTTCTGTAAAAAAAGATCCAAAATTTTTTTGGACCTTTTTGTTTTTTCGTTCTGTGTTTTTCATAGTATTATAAATGAACAAAATATAAAATAGTGCTAAGTTGCATTTATAAAAAAAATTAATTGGAAATATCCACAATAAAGTTGGGTCGTCAAAAAAAAGTACCAATTTTGGTACTAAAGTACCATAAGTGGCAACCGTGTCTGCGGGTATCACGAAAAGGTGACGTTAGGAATTGAGAGTAGGAGAGACTATCTGATATTAGCTTTATGTTTTTCGCAATCCCCACTCTTTTTGAGGTTTTTTGATTTCTAATAGTTCTAACAAATACAACATATAATCCACTAACATTAACACATAATAATTCCAAAAAAAAAATTTAATTATCTACCCTATGTCAGCTCAATTGATATATAATAATTTTAATACATAAAACGATAATTTCATTTTTTTATTTTGCATACGGTATGATTTGAAATCTTTTTCAAGACTGATATAAATATAATAATCCTCTTATCACAACTCACTCACATTTTTCTACGTGAAGTGATTTCAATTCTATTCTGTTGCAATTCTCTTTTTTACATTAAATTTGTTTAAACTTACATATTTCAAAATTCGAATTATATGTGTCACTATTTGTAAACCATTTGAGAATTATAATTTATCCAATATTTAAAATATTTAGCAAGCATTATAGCACACAACAGATGCATAATCTGAGCTAGTGGTGGCAATCTATTCACAATTTTAAACATATGGTCTTTATAAAAGAGTTTTTGAAAAATACTGAATTTTTTTTTATTAAATTGGACATTGATATGTCTACTTCATTGATATAACATAAGTATATGAAGCTATATGCTTCTAATTTAAATAAAATAGTTGGTTTAAAAGTATTTTATTTAAAAGAAATTCTACATAATTTTTTTTTAAACTGATTTGACATTATTTTTTTGTAACATTTTTAAAATATATCTTAGTTATTACGATACTAATTATAATGGTGTTTTTGAGCTATTAGCAATTATAGTTTTTTGGAGAAAATTATTGATTGAACATACCTAACTCCAAAGAAGAGAGATTTATAGAACTAATCCACTTTGTTCCAGTACTTTTGGAGATTACATGGTTATTGATAATAAATTGATTATGTCAGAAGATATGGTTAAAACCACATAAAGTTCTAATGTTTTTTGGTAAAAGTTCTTCGGTCAACTGAGTTTTATATGCCTTGAAATATGGTGTGATAAGATAGTTTAAGTATTTGAGAGTGATATCTAATTGATAGTTCTTAATTCATATTTACACTGCAGTTCACAACATCTTTATTACTAGCAGTACACGTACATTTTCGGTGAGTCTTAACATTATAAAACCTACCATTTGATTTGAGTTAAACTAATCAATAACTTTACATATAGTCGACTATTTTGTCCTTATATTTTGTGCTCAACCAAGAAATATATGAACTAAAATATCTTTTTATACTTTTTAATAGAATGCTAAATATGGCACGCTATATAAGTCGCCACCGTTTTTTATTTTGTTAGCCGCTTCCCTACTCCGAACTCAGTTCCTCCTATGATATTTAGGTAGGTTAGGTTGGAGTGGCGGTTTTCTCTCCGCACAAATAATGGCCCTTTGTGATACCACAGGAATAGCATTGGTTCAAACACAGATTAGAAGGTCAGTATACGACCAATGTCGAAAAAGCAACGACTCCCCTATTAGGTATAGGTAAACCAACCTGATAATTTTATGAATTTGGCTAAATCCTTAATATTACAGGATGACATCTCGGTAAGAGAAGGGGCCCCGAATATTTTTGATCTTCTCCTAGCTAAATATTGGCAGTGACAGATGATACAGAGCACAGTTTCCTGCTCATGCTTATAGCCATAGCCGCGATAAAAGTCATTATAGGGTAGACCGAGCCTCCAATAGGATTTTCGTTTGTTTAAGCGAAGTTTGCTGTTTTTATTTACGTTAAAAACTTTTAATCTCAATAATATTGTACTTATAGATATGTTCTGTAAGCAATTCAGTTTTGTTTGGATGGATTGGGTGGATCCAAAAATAGTACTTAGTCTCAATGTTTAAAGTTTGTTTCCAGTGGTGTGAAAAATTCTTGAAATGTAACAATTATTAGTTAATTATAAAAGTTGTTGACTTCGAGGATATTAGGATATTCGAGGATATTAGCCTTTTACTTTAATAAAAGAAAACTTAAAATGTCAAGATGTTTAAATATATCTTTTTTAGCATAAATTACATGTTGCTAATGTTAGAAATTCAAAAATAAGGTGCAAAGTTATTTTATCGTATATCTTTCGTGAAAGAATCTTACAATTTTACTCATCATTTGTTTTAATATCTTTTTAACTTAGCACAAGTTTTTTATTAGCTTTTTAAATTCATCATTGTTCTTCTATCAATTTTCCATTTTCCGCCTAAACTTCCTGTTTTTGGCTTTGTTGTATAATTGATCTTTAACCAACATTGAATAGTTGTAAACGTGCTACCTCCACTCTCTCTCACTCCTACTGAATGCATCATCATAATCATCGGTGCTGAGCAAGGCGAGTGAGGAACACGAATAAAAAAAGCTTGAATGATTTATGTGAAAACATTTACTGTTACGTCCCCGTTGTGCCAAAATACACCCACAAAATTAATGAGTCATTCATTTACAACGATTCCAACAAGCTGTGCCACTGCCGACAACGCTACCATCGCTGCCAGTGCTGCCACGGTAAATGGATTTTGCTGGTTTTGTTTTTTTTTTTTTGGGTGAAAAACGCCTGTTTGTATGCTAAAATATTTGCATAATAATGTTGAATGTTGAAGTGAACGTTATGTTCCAGGAATTCTTTATGCTCTTTAGGTTTGCTATAATAAAATCGGTAGATAGTGTGCAATAAAGTATATCAAGGTAGCTTGTTATTTTGGTAGGTTGATAGCGGGGGAACAGGTGTTTTTGCGCTGATTATGAAACGAAATTGAAATGAATTCAAGTAGTTTACAAATTTCTGCTTAAATAATTCCTACTTTTAATACTTTATATTTGAATTTGATAGTAATGATTTCATTAAAATATAACAACACAAAAAGTATTATCATTGTAGTATTTTTTTAAGCCACCCTTTATCATTATATCAACAACAGGTTGTTGCTCTGCTTTCAGATAATTTGACGTACGAGGATTCAATCGAAAATATTTATGTTTAAGTGTTGAGTAAGAATTTTGTTAATTTTATATTTTATTTTTTAGCAAAGCACTTAGATATGAAATTATATACCCTACCTTAACATTAGAATTCAAAACGAATAAAGAAAGTTTCTGGGGAGTTTAAAAGATCTGGTAAGTCTACCTTCATTATCTTTACTAGTGTAGTAAAGAAACAATTGTCGCTTTATCACTTTGTATGCAGTTCTGGGTAGTTAGTTTTATTCATCATTGCAACTCCTGTACAGTCGGCTTACATGCCCAAAAAAGTATCGGCGCAATAGCGCACTGCTCTATCACCACTCTGTTAAGGTTTTCTTTTATACGATACTAATTCCCTTTTTTTCAAAAAGATCAAAAAGATCCAAAACTAGTTCCTAATATTTATTTTATGGGCATACATATTTTGGAAACAAGGTCTTGTCAGCGTTATAATTCTCTAGCACATTCGCGAGATATATATTATAGTATCGTGTTAGTTACTTTCAAACATTAAAAATTAATCTATATTTTTAGTTGATAACCTAACCTTTCTAGGCTTCTTGAAGTTAATACAAATTAACTAATTTGTAGGTAGGAGGAAGACTGTCTTGGGACACCATTGGGTTGGTGATGAATTGGCAGAAAACCTCAAGCTAAATGAGCTGCTTGCATTAACAAAAGATGCAGTTATGTGAATGGAAGCGACACCAGCTTTAACTCAATAACGACATCCGAAAATCGAAAGACGAAAAAGGACCCAAGTAGTTTCGTGGTCTACTTCGGCTAATCCTTCACTTCAGTGGGGTTACTTGTTGGACAGTTTGCTGTCCTAACGTCCCATCATATATAACTAATTTGTAAACTATTTTATTATTATTCATATCTCAAATTTTGGTATCCATTTAAATAATATTTCATGCGCATTGTGTGTATTGTAGTGTTGAGAACCGATATTATTCTTATCACTACAGTCAGAGTAGTGTCACCTATAATTAGAAGTTCCGATGTAGTTAATTCATATTGTATATAAAAACTTAGTCTTTTTTATGGTTTATATTTTTGTTAGTTGACGTTGAATACTATAA